GGAAAAGTCTGTTTGAGGCTTTGGCCTTTCCCCTTTACAAAACGCCTCCATATGTAAAAGAAGTAGTCTCCTTAGCCTTAGCTAAGCCTTGCTCAGCCTGGTTTCCCCGGCAGGGAGGGTGGGAATGCAGGGAAATGTCTCACTACAAGGTGAGAAGACAGGCTTTATAGAGTTCAATTTTGGTAGCAATGCCCAGATTTCCCAGCTTGGTGTGCCCAGGCCACAGCCATGGCTACACTCACCTGCTCTGATGCCTAGTAGGAGCAAGACTATCTTTGGTGGCATATATGATGCCCAAGAAATTGTAGCTTTGAATCCAGTTTATAACTTAAAATTGTGGAAGTTGCATTTTAGCCTTTGAAGCAGCCAAAAACGGTCTTCATTATAGAAAATGGTTCTTGACAGTACAAGATTTTTTTCAAAATTACCAATAGGGAAAACTCCCCCACAAATTTTAGTAGTAGAATTCATCGGAACCTAATGAGGTAAATAGTCAAAAGTTGGGTATGCACCACAAGGGGAGTTTTTTGAAGCTGAGAGCTGCCACCTGTTGAGGTAGTTTAAATCAGGGTTTTGGCAAAAGTACGTTATTGTGACAGTAAATGTCAGTGAAACTCAAGTCTCCTCTACATACCCAATTTAGGAATGTGGTCATTAAGCCTTCCCACACTGTGACTCAGCTCCGAAGATACAGAAATTATTTAACTCACTGAGACATTTGGAAGTTTACTTCAAAATTGTTAACCCACAGCAAAACTGGTTGGTATGTGGGATGGGAGCCAAACTTGACAATTTTTGTGTTTTCTCCCCATCTTCACTACAAAAGATATTGTCTCGGAAGGATGCTTAGTCTGACATTTTCTAAGACAAGAAAATCAACGGCATTGATATATGTATGAATCTGCATCACTGGAGCCAGAAAGCATAATCTTATCTGTAGGGGAGAAATGGAATTTCATGAGTGATTATGTTGAAACATGCCTACAGACTTAAGTTACTTATGACTTACATGTCTCTAAAGGAAAATATGAATTACAAAGAAAGAAGTTCTGACTTACTTCTCAGATCTGTACTGACTTATGCCAAACATAAAGCCTAAGACCAATCTTTATGCCTCAGATTTTCCATGGATGAGAATGCTACCATGAATGTATTATAGACCTTCCAATATGTTTTTATAAGTTATTCTTTAATTTTAAAACCTCTAAGAAAGTTCAGCTTCAAAGAATATTAGGTTTTTTTTTTTTTTAAGGCTTAAAGCAGAACTGATTCAAGCAGTTCAAAACATGGACAGATGTTACTGAAAGGGTTTTCAGATACTAAGTGCCTTGAATCTCCCTTTAAAGCTCACTTCATCTTTTAATAAATTATTCTTAGTTTAAATATTCCTTCTTACTTTAAATTTCCTCTGGTTCCCTGAACTCTATCCATTCTCTATGAATGTTATCCTACTCCTTGTGACATAATAATTCCTATATTTATTAAAACATAATTATTTAAAAAAACAATTCTTTGTACTCTTGAAGACACTTATAAAGGATGGATCAACCAACTAATATATATTGAGAACCTACTGTATTATAAATATGATGCTTGTGAAGGGGGTATAAAAAGCCAGCAGAAAAACTAACAACTCAGGAGACAACAGATGTTGGTGAGGATGGGGAGAAAGGGAAACTTTTGTACACTGTTGGTGGGAATGCAAACTGGTGCAACCAGTCTGGAGAACAGTGTGGTGATTCCTCAAAAAATTTAAAAAAAAGAACTACCCTATGACCCAGCAATTGTACTACTAGGTATTTATCTAAAGATACAAACAGTGATTCAAAGGGGCACATGCACCCCAATGTTTATAGCAGCAATGTCCACAATAGCCAAACAATGGAAAGAGCCCAGATGTCCACTGACAGATGAATGGGTAAAGAAGATGTGGGGGATACACACACATACACACACATACACGCACATCCCATATATATATATGGGATATACATATATAGAATGGAATATTACTCAGCCATCAAAAGGATGAAATCTTGCCATTTGCAATGATATACATGGAACTAGAGGGTATTATGCTAAGTGAAATAAGTCTGTCAGAGAAAGACAAATACCATGATTTCACTCATATGTGGAATTTAAGAAACAAAATAGATGAACGTAGGGAAAGAGAAGGAAAAATAAAATAAGATGAAAATTGAGGAGGCAAACTGAACTCTAGGAAATAAACTGAGGGCTGCTGGAGGTGAAGTGGGTAGAGGGAAGGGATAACTGGGTGATGGGCATTAAGGAGGGCACTTGATGTAATGAGCACTGGTTGTTATACGCAACTGATGAATGAATCACTAAATTCTACCTCTGAAACTTAAAAAAAAAAAATTAGTCAAATTCCACACACCACACAATACTTTTGAGAGACTTCCTGCATTCCCATTGAAAAACTAGTTGAATTTCCAAGCTAAGATTTAAGACAAATAATTCCAGTCCTTCAAAGCCAGATTCCCCTCTGCACCACCACTGGGTAGTCCCTCTATACTTGATTATCTCCAAAGACAGGGACTTCACTGTCTCCTGACGAGCTGCCCCCTCCAATGTTTGACATCACTTAGTCACTAGAGAAGACAGATCTCCATACAAAGTTAGCCACAACACAGGAATAAGTCAAGTACTGTAACTGCTCAATCAGTTGAAAAAGACAAGTTCCACATGATGTCAGAGGAAAGAGGAAATGCTGTTGATTCTTGTGGTCAGGAAAAGATAGTGATTGAGGGTTATACCACTAATATCTTTTTTTTTAAGATTTTATTTATTTATTCATGAGACACGCAGAGAGAGAGAGAGAGAGAGAGAGAAGAGAGAGAGGCAGAGACACAGGCAGAGGGAGAAGCATGCTCCACGCAGGTAGCCTGACGTGGCTCCAGGATCACTCTCTGGGCTGAAGGCGGTGCTAAACCGCTGAGCCACCCGGGCTGCCCATCCAATATCTTTTAGTATTATCTTTTACCTCCTAGGCTAAACCACCACTGCTAGAAAATTTCCCTCTTTTATTAACTTGTTAAAGAAAATAGTGGGCTGACTAGTTCTTCCCAGTCTTCCTTAGGGCTGAAAGGAGTGGAAATTAGCATACTCAGTGGAGGGAAGTCCACTGGGGTCATCCTGAGGGCCATCAAGTGATCCAAGGGGCCAGGCCAGGCCCTTCCCTCAGTTCTGAGAGGAAAATGATAGGTAGTCCAATGGACATCCATTTTTACACATAAATAAGCAATGCCTTACTAGTGACTCACTAGTTACTGAAATCTAATATTTGTAACTAAAATTAATGGTAAGCCATCATTTACTGAGGTCTCTAGTATTCTAAGAGTTTGAGCTGCTTCACAATGAAGCAAAACTTCTAGAGTGAGCACATGTTGATAATTTCTAATTTCTATAATTTGGGGCAGGGACTTTTTAAAGTATGGTATTAGTATATCTTGAACTCATCATGGTTTCCTACTCATCTTGACTTAGGATATTTTTACAACTACTATCAGGCTTACTTTTATGGATCCTTTTGTAGTTGTATAACTGCTCGGTTGTAAACTTTTGAATGTTATTTCCTCATGGATTCTTTTCATTCAGTTCTTGCTTTTTTTAACTGAAAAGTGGGAATGAAAATTAAGAACTACTAAAGTAAAGGGAAGGATATCCAATGATTTCTAGGCCTTTGCTAGCCCTAGAAATTTCAGATGAACATTTTGGTATTTCAAGAACAATGCTAGAGGATAGATATTATTTTCCCTGATTAAAAAAAAAAAAAAAAAAAAAAAGAAGGGATTCCTGTGTGGCTCAGCAGTTTAGCCCCTGCCTACAGCCTGGGGTGTGATCCTGGAGTCTCAGGATCAAGTCCCACATCAGGCTCCCTGGGAGGAGCCTGCTTCTCCTTCTGCCTGTGTCTCTGCCTCTCTCTCTGTGTCTCTCATGAATAAATAAATAAAATCTTAAAAAAAAAACAAAAACAAAACCTCAGGTCTGCTTGATTCCAAAGACCCTGTCTTTTTGTTACATTAACACCATCTCCCATCTAATTCTCCCTTCCAGATTCTTTTGCCTCCAGTCATTTGACTGAATCTAACTCTAAGAATTACTAATCACATAGGTAAACTCTCATTAGCACTAAATTCAGGAAAACCAAATTCTGTTAACAGGAATTTGAATATTAGTAAACTGTTAAGCTGGTGTGTGAATGTCTCTTGTTAAAAAAATTTTTTTTGACGTAATAGCTTTTATTTTCCAACAAGATGTACCACATCTGTATTTCAAGGACTGAAATGCATAATAAACTGTTCCCATAATAAACTGTATCTCCCTTTAAACTCTTTGGGAAGAAAAACAAAACAAAACAAACAAAAAAACTAAGTTGTTTTCTTTTTTTCAACACTGTAGCTACATTTCAGCTCTGCAGAGTTTCTCACCAGCAAGATATTGGAAGTTTCAATGTGGTTTAAAGGAATGAATGTGAATTATGAACTAGTATGTGACAATGAATGACCACCAAGTGCAGCCTCACAGAAGGCACTTTTCTCTTTGACGTTTGAGAAAGAATTAAAGGCACATGCAGAGCTGGCCGAGAAACAGAGAAAAGGGATGGAAAAAAGAATACTCATTTTTGTCCAATGTTTTTCTTTTTAAGATGAACTTTTAAAGAACCTTGCAATTTGCACATCTTGAGTTGATAACTTGTGTGATATTCCTGCAGTTTTTATCCAATAACGTTGTGGGAAAGGTTTGGGGAACTGAACGAGCATAAATACATGTAGCAAAATTACTTTCTAACCTGCCTAAACTCTAGGGCATTTTGTAAGGTTATGTTCCTTTCAGAATTCATTTTGGTCTTTCTACCACATCTGTCACAACCCCCCCCCCCCAAAAAAAAAAAAAAACCTATGGGTAAGTAAACAGATGCACACAACATTTGAATAATTCTAAGATGAAAAAACCTTTGACTTTGGAATTTCCTGCAGGCATTCTGCAAAGGCTCACTGATCTTGGAACACTTGGATGTCTCTTATTGCCCCCAGCTGTCAGATGAGATTATCAAAGCACTGGCCATTTATTGCATTTACCTCACATCTCTCAGCATTGCTGGCTGTCCAAAGGTATGTGCAGGAGTCAGAGTTCAGATGTGTCCAGTTGAAGCACTGACAAAGACCCCAGGCAGGGTAGCAGTCAGGGGTTAGGCTCATCGCAGAATTTGTCTTCTTCGCTATGACTGAGGTATTCATTACATTTTTTTTTCTTTCCCCAAATTGGAAATAATTTTATTTTATTCAAATAAAGTTTTATTTTATAAACCATATCATTTTATGGTTTCATTTATTTCAAAGTAGAATTTTCAAAAAGTTAAAAACAATTCTCATCCAAATATGAAAATGTGCTAAAGGTTTATTTATTCATTAGTGGTAAAACCAGGTCATAGAGCATTTGATCAAACTGAGTATTTATAGGAACTGAAGAAAAAGAATGTTGGAATGCGATTGTTAGGTTAGATACAAAACTGGTTAATGTCCTAGAAGGTAATAAATCCATAACCTTGGAGTTATAGTTACCACCAGATAGAAATAATGTACATTTCTCCTGGACAAAATATAACAAGTTATAACGTAACTTCACTGAGTTTGGGCCCTAGTCAATAGTTATTAGTAGGCATAATCTCTTATAGAATTCCTCTGGTGAGCCTGTTAAAAAATGTTCTATATGACATTGAAAAGACATGTAATCATCTTTTGTCTTCTTTTCAGTGTTTGATCATTTTTCTTGATATTTGTTAATAAAAGAAATATATACTTATTGTAAAACCCTTGGACTACATATAAAAACAAAAAGAAGAAAGTAAAAAACCTGTTGTCATACTGCCATCCAGACATAACCATTGTTGGAATTTTATACTTAATCTTCTAGAATATTTTTCTATTTCCACAGAGATTAGAAATAGTTATAGAAGGTTTGTGTTTGTCTTTTTTTTTTTTTTAAGAATAGAATCACACTTTCCAAAATATATTGTAGCCTACTTTCTTTTCTGTTACTACATATCACTATGTCAAGAAATAGAGATCTCTGAATCTGGATTAATATAGCAACTGAATATATGCATATAATTTTGGTCCCTCTTGAAACCCTACAGAACTGCAGAAGAAGGGTGAATGCCTATGTTGATCAGGACAACAGGAGAGGAGAAAAGAGCAAGAAAATGTTAGAAGCTTGAAAGTAGATCAACTAATTTAGCAGGCCAGAGATAGCTTTGAATCCTAAGCCAACAGTAGAGAAACCTAAGGGGAAAAATTGATTTATATCACGATCTTCAAATTTGATAGCACTGCTTGTCTCTGGAACTGGGTTAAAGAAATGGCTAAAATGGAGTGCCTGATGGCTCAGTTAGTTAAGTGAGGCTCAGGTCATGATCCTGGGGTCCTGGGATTGAGCTCTGAATCCCCTTGCTGAGCAGAGGGCCTGCTTCTCCCTCTCTCACTCCTGCTCCCTCTGCTTGTGCTCTCTTGCTCTCTGTCAAATAAATAAAATCTTAGGAAAAAAAAAAAAGAATGTGGCTAAAATGAGGAAGGCTGGGTTAAAAGTTCTTGAGAAGTAGACAGATCCCTAGATTTCTTCCTCTACTTCACACCTCTGGGCAGCTGCCCTTCCCTACCTTCACCAAAAGATTAGATATTTATTTCCCAGATTTCTCAATCCTGGCATTATTGATATTTTAGATGAGATAATTCTTTGTAGTGAGGGGTTGTTGTTCCATGCACTGTAAAATGTTCAACAGCATCCTTGCCTCTACCCACTATATGCCAGTAGCTCCTGGTCCCCCATACCCCCTTCTCGTAACAATAAAAAAATGTCTCCAGATATTGCCAAATGTCCTCTGGGGAGCAAAACTGCTCTCTACCACTTATTCTACAGATAGTAAAAACAGAGGGCTGCTGGGGGGCACCTCGGTGAGGCTCAGCTGATTAAGTGTCCAACTCATGTTTCCGGCTCAGGTCACGATTTCATGGGTTAAGGAATCAGGCTCAGCACTCAGTAGGGAGTTGGCTTAAGAATTCTCTCCCTTCTGATGCACCCCCCCCCCCCCCAATGAATGAATCAATCTTAAGAAAGCCTTCAGAAAACAGAGGGTTGCTGGGCTGGGAGATACTATGTATAATTTAGAGTTTGGGTACAAAAGTGAAAACAGGAATTAAGTGACTGCCAAATGCAGAGACGCTCAAGAACTCTTCTAACGCAGCATCTAGAATGTGGCTGCCAGGTCTTCCCCTTCAGGCAGGAGACCGGGACAGGACCCTCTTTTCTGGAGGCTCTGACTAGTGCAGGATGAAAGACAGAAAAATATTGACATTTGGGGGTTTACCAACTAATAATCCATCTAACCATTGAAGCTTTATGTAGAGAAGACCCATATCATGCACTCAGAGCTTCCCATCAGTGTTTAGTCCTTTTGTTATTAATAAATGGTAGACAATCAAGGATTACCAGACATAACAAACAAGCCTCTAAAGTAGAAGATAAAGACCAAAACAAATAAAACAAAAACAAAAACAAAACAAAACTTGGAGGAATAAAAACATGCAGAGGAAAGAGAACTAAAAAATCTTTAAAAAGACAATCCTCAGGGATCCCTGGGTGGTGCAGTGGTTTGGCGCCTGCCTTTGGCCCAGGGCACGATCCTGGAGACCCGGGATCGAATCCCACGTCGGACTCCCGGTGCATGGAGCCTGCTTCTCCCTCTGCCTATGTCTCTGCCTCTCTCTCTCTCTGTGTGACTATCATAAATAAATAAAATTTTTTTAAAAAAAGACAATCCTCAGAAATTACAAGAACATTTAACAACCGTGTTGTCTTTGGTGGTGCACACTGATGGACTTCTTTTTAGGAAAGTGTCACCCAAACTCTCAGGATGCCATGCATTCCAGCTAGTCTAAAAATTCAGCTTCTCAGCTGTTTAGTTTGTGTGGTGAGTAGATTAAGAGAGTGAAGCTAAAACCTCCTAGTTCCTCCATAGTTAACTGTGCTATAGTAAGGAAGAGGAGGTGGGGGGAGAGGGGGGAATGATGTGGTAAATTGTGACAAAATTAATTTAGAAAGTTCACAGCAGGGCAGCCCCAGTGGCTCAGCGGTTTAGTGCCGCCTGCAGCCCAGGGTGTGATCCTAGAGACCCTGGATCAAGTCCCATATCAGTCTCCCTGCATGGAGCCTGCTTCTCCCTTTGCCTGTGTCTTTGCCTCTCTCCCTCTCTCCTCTCTGTGTATTCTCATGAATAAATAAATAAAATCTTAAAAAAAAAAGAAAGTTCACAGCAAAATTCTTGTTTAATGATATACTTGTTTAGAACTAGAGAAACCAAATGTCTCTCTGGTCAGCATCATCTGGTTCTAGAAGTGGGTCAGGATACTTAGCAGCACTGACCATGGACCCTCTGCAGAGTTCTTGTTTTCATTGCATACAGACATGTGGACACATGGGAAACACATGGCTCACTGGGAATTACCCTGGCCATAAAGCAGGCACAGATGGGGACTCAGCTTTTTAGTGGCTCTACTAATTAGAGGGGAAAGTAGGAGAATGAGAGAAGTAAAGACTCCAGTGAGAAGAGGAGTTGGGGCAGAGGATTTTTTGGGGGGTTTTTTGGTTTTTGGTAAGGAGAAGCTGAGGGAATTCCTCCTATAAACTGGGCAGAGGATACTATCTTGCAGCCTAGAAACTAAGGAGGATGTTACACAAATAAGATATTACAAAACAAATCACCCTATATCAAATATCTAGGGTGAAAAAAAGGGAAAGGAGTAGATTATTCCAGAACCTCAATGGAAGAGAGAAGAAGGGTTTAGCTTTATTATCTCTGTGAATCAAGTAAGCATCCTGATTCAAAAGATGTAGTGACTATAATCTGGGCCAATCAGAATACTCCTCATTGAGAAATCATAAGGCTATGGGTCCAGTCTAATGTATTCCACCTACATTGCTTTTTATTTATTTTTTATTTTTTTTCATTGCTTTTTAAAGTTAAATCTTATTTTACTTTAAATTCCAATATAGTTGACATACAATGTTATATTTCTACCTACATTGGTTTTGATGAGCCATTAAGCACGTTAGTGTCTGACTCATCATCCTTGGCTAGGTTTCTCAAAAGCCTACAAGTCAGTCTTGAATGGTCACCTTATCCATCTCCTGGATGAACAGCTCTTTCTTTCTTATTTTATTTTATTTTATTATTTTATTATTATTTTATTTTATTTTTTTGACCAGCTCTTTCTTGCAACCAACTCACCAAGTTCAGTAATTAGTACTGTGATCCCATCTTACCCAGCACTGAAGTGAGAATAACAATCTCTGCTCATTAGGACCTTGTATCGGGAAGTTAAGAATTTAGCCAGTCACCTCCAACTCTAGTTCCCAGCCCCATAAGTCCCAACAACAACAGTTCAGTCATTGAGCATCTTGAGCTTCTGATCTATGGAAATGTTGGCCTTCTTTTTCACTCCTTCAGAAGCAATAAATCCTAGCTCTCTGAACTCTATCCATCCTGGACTCTTGCATCTCCTCACTGTCTTTCTTGTGTTCTACAATTCTGAGGGCTTTTTTTCCCTTCCTATTTCTTTCCAATGACATCAGATCCTCAGAGACAAACACAGTATATGGCAGGAATGTCTGAAGGCATTTTTGGGAGAATCAGACACAATGTTAAACCTTGGTCCTAAACATGTTCTGAAGACAGGCCATGCTCAGACAATGACAACATCTGTTTTTTCAAACTTAGAAAGTGTACATTTCAAACTGAAGGGTTTTCTGTATAAGTCTCTAAATTTATATTAAAACCAAGAGCCAAGCCTCATGGCATTTTTAAAAAAGATTTGATTTATTTATTCATGAGAGACAGACAAGAGAGAGGGAGAGGAGAGAGGCAGAGACACAGGCAGAGGGAGAAGCAGGCTCCATGCAGGGAGCCCAGTGTGGGACTCGATTCCAGGACTCCAGGATCACGTCCTGAGTCAAAGGCAGATGCTCAACCACTGAGCCACCCAGGCGTCCCTCATGGCATGTTTTTTTTTTTAGAATGTTCAGACATTTAAAATGAGAAATTAAATCCAGTTGGAAAAAAAAATTCCTTTGAGGAAAATAATCTCGTTGATTCTACAGCCAGTCTCAGTTTAGCTATGAATTCAAAAGCTAGACCTTGAGTGAGTAAAATAATCTAAGAATTGGAGTTGAAAAAAAAAAAAGAATTGGAGTTGAATTATCTCTGCAGAACATGTGGGCAAACTCAAGATGTTGGAACCCGGATGCCTGGGTGGCTCAGCAGTTGAGCATCTGCCTTTGACTCAGGGCTTGATCCTGGAGACCCCGGATCGAGTCCCACATGGGGCTTCCTGCAAGGAGCCTGCTTCTCCCTCTGCCTGTGTCTCTGCCTCTCTCTGTGTCTCTCATGAATGAATAAATAAAATCTTAAAAAAAAAATTCGGAACCCTCAGCAGAATTTCTCAGAATAAGATTCATGTGGTCTCTGTGGTCTTCTGCTCTTTCTTCCCCTGCCTACAAACATGTCTCCCCTACTTGTCCCTTTCCATAACTGTGTTACTCTACCCACAAACCATAAGAGATGTTCAGATTCCTCAGAGTAATTTGACCTTGTATGCGGGTTAACTTCGTAGTTTTGTAACATACTATGTTATTAACCCTCTGTTTCTAAACTGATGATGCCTTAGAGTGAATTCAAGTTTAAAGCCAAATCCCATAATGGCAACATTTCATAAGATGCTCATATTGGTGTGATAGGTATTACTAAGGAAATTTTGATGAAATTACCCATCCAAAATAGACAACTCTAAAATGAAAATAACTGCAAGATCACAAAGTCTATTGGCACTACCTAAAATATAATTTTCTGTTCTGCAAACAGTTAAATGACTAACATGAGTTATAGGTTCATCCCGTGACAAGCTGGCAAGAGTTTTGATTCTGTTTGTTATGGACTGAATTTTTGCCCCCCACTCATTCATGTGTTGAAACTCTTATTCTCAACGTGATAGTATTAGGAGGTAAGGCTTTAGGGAGGCAATTAGGTTTAGATTGAGGTCATGAGTGCAGAGCCACCATGATGGAATTACTGTTCTTGTAAGAATAGGAAGAAACTAGAGCTATTTCTCTGCCTTGTGAAGATACAGCAAGAAAGTAGCCATCTGCAAACCAGGAAGAGGGTCTTCACCAGACACTCAGTCTGTGGGTAAACTAATCTTAAGACTCCTCAGCTTCCAGAACTATGCAAAACAAATGTCTGTTGTTTAAACTACTCAGTCTATGGTATTTTGTTACAGCAGCTCAAATTGCCTAGTACACATTCTTTCTTGGGATGGAGTTCATCAGAATAATCAGTACTTAACTTTGGCTGTGTGTTCAGATTACTGACTCAGCGATGGAGATGTTATCGGCAAAATGCCATTACTTGCACATTTTGGATATTTCTGGTTGTGTCCTGCTTACTGACCAAATGCTTGAGGACCTTCAGATGGGCTGCAAACAACTTCGAATCCTTAAGATGCAATACTGCAGACTTATTTCCAAGTAAGTACGAACCCGAATATGAAAAGCTTTGAGAACAACTTTCTGAGAAAACAGAATGGCATTTGTAATACATAGTGGCTTTCAGAGTTATGAAGTTTCATTTTACTTTTTGCCTAATTGAAGTCAACATTTTGAACTGAACATTATTATGCTTTCTTGTAAAATGGTCTTTGCGGTTTTATATCCCTTTACTAGCAGACCTTCTCACCTCCCTTTCTTTGACCATGCCAGTGTTAAAAAGCTTATTAACTCTGCTCATCGTAGAACTATCATGACGTCTTCCTCTACTCTTCTCTCAAAAATTATTTCTATTCAGTTAATCTCCCCTACAGGCTAAGAAATAATTAGATTAAACCAGTTAACAATTAAGTATAAATTACTAACAGTTCCCCTAAGCCCCATCTCTCTCAAAGCTAGTTGCTTGATAGTTGTTACTCATTTAGGGATTTCCTCTAAGAGCTACAGCTCAGAGTAAAGTATTCTGGCTTGACTGCTACAGGCCAAGTGCTGGTTCCTACAATTTGCAAAATGTTTCCATGGAAGCAAACGTTAGATAAATAAGCACTCTATATAAGGAGAGGGTCTCAGGTGTCTACTCTGTGAGTTTTAAAATATAAAGCAGTTATTTGCTTCATTGTTTAGTTGGTTTCCTTATTGGTGGCGAGTAAAAACATGCAAGTATTTTTAGCTGACCTGATGAAGTAACTGGTGGAGTGTTCAAAATGAGAATTCTTGACCAATCCCTGAAGGTCTGGTTCTTTGCAGCAGGCTGGAAAAATGAATACTAAGAATTAATATTATCAAAGTATAAAGTGTAAGCACATATATGTCACAGAGGAACTTTCTTAATTAAATAGTCTTGGCACGAGCTGAACTAGGAGATCTGATCACTTGAAGCCTGAGGAAGAAAATGGTTTCTGATCCAAGGCTGTATGTGTTAAAATGAAATGAAATGGGGGGCAGGGGGGAAGCACACAAAAATTATTACTTTGTAAGATAGGCACTCTCATTGAGCCTGGGCCTGATTGGGGGAGGCCAACTGAAGCTGGGTCAGAAGAAAAGAAGCAGGTCTTTGAAAATTTTTGAAGAGGAATGGAGACTCATACCCTTTATAATAGGTCTAGAGATGACTAAAATAGATATTATTAACTTCATTGAGAAAGGATACCATAAAATAAGGTCCTGGGAGTCCCTGCCAACCCTGTCATATCATTAAACAAACAATTTTGGGTAAGATGACAATGAATGAATAACTCATTACACAAAAGAGTCTGGCTTCTAATCTTCTCATTGCGTTTTGACAAAATTAGTATTTTGGGGAGGTAATATCACTAAACTTCTAATAAGTGGGATTTTAAGTAAGAATGAATGGAGACTTTCTAGTACGGGTCTACACGAACCTAATTATAGTATGGGATATTAAAATATGATAAAAATGGTGTTTGGTTAAGAAGACCCAAAATATTTTGTAATATCCTAATCCTGCCTTCAAAGTCACTAGATTAAAAATATGTGATGAAAACAAAATAAGGCAAAGTAAGACTTTATTACTAGCTAGGCTTGGCCTCCAAAACCCAATGCAAAACTCTAGTTAACTAGTTGGATCTATGAAAAATTCCTTTACCTAAGCTAGGACAGTCAAGGCCTATTTTGTTTTCTACCACCCACAGCTGGCTGTCCCTACCAGCAAGAAGCAGAGACATGGTCCTAGCGTTTAGAGGGCACCTGGCTTGTCTGTCCATCTCATTGTCTAAAAAGGCCAAACCACCTCAGTCTTCCTCATAGGCCCACCCCTGCTACGCTCCAGTAGGAAAGAGGCCTAGAATCCTCTGATTCTGTCTTTGTCTAGCAATAAAGAAGGGAAGTCCCCACAGTAGAGTGGCTTGGAGAATCCTAGCATTTGGACTAGTAAGGCTCTGCAAATACTTGTCTTGACTTCCAACTTCTCGGACAGGTACTGTTTTTTAGTCAAGGAGCTTCCAAAATACCTGGTCTGAAAACTTTGATTGGAGAAGTGTTAAGGCTAGGTAGGTCAGGTTTGTTTGGGGGCAGCTCTAAGGATTATAAAGCAGCTTCCTCCTCCACTTAAATCCTTGGGTGGAATTGGAAATGTTGCACAGAATATGTGGCCCTTTCAAGACTCAAGTTTGTGCTGATGTCTAATCACTTACTTATATTGACTCTAAAAAATCAGAGTTGTTTGCTCTTTCCATGACTAATGTGGCTCCCTCAACTGCAATGGCCATTTTGTCTGGGTGAAATAGAATATTTGGTAGTTGGGATAGAGGAAATTTTTCTTGCGTGGGAAGTGGTTCAATGGCTTTGAATCACAGTGTTGGGCTCCCACATGTTTGTTTCCACTTGAACAAGAAAATATTCTATGATGTGGCTCTTAAAATCCAATTACTGTCATCAGAAGAAACTTTTCTATGTATAAATTACCCTATACTCAATGGAATCTAAAAATTTTGAGCCAGATTTGCAAACCAAAGACGCCTGTCCAGCTGAAGTGGGGGAGTAGGAAACTTTTGGTCAAAGAGCAAATTGGCAAATTTTGCAAGAGAGCTTTCAGCAGGAGCTATACTGTCATTCTACCAACCCCAGAGCCTAAAGGGATCACAAGAAGTGGTTCCAGAAGCATCATGTGGAGACATAATCTAGGCTCCTTTAATTCAAGGAGGAATAAGTAGCAACTATGATCATAAACATGACAAAAATATCAGTTTAGATTTGAATCAATTGTGTACAATCAACTTTTTAACATATGGCCTTCGGTGGGAAAAACAAGCAATGGAAAGGAAGAAGAGCATAGTTGAAGAGAGGGAACAAGACCCAAACAATGGTCTCCACAACCCAGGAGGGTCTGAGCCACAAAGAGGTAAAAGAGACATTAAGTCTATAATTAGCAAAGAATAAAGGGCCTTTTCTGACATTTTTGTGTCCAGAGTCCAAAACTTTCAACTCTAAAGAGATGAGTAGAGTCTTGGTGGCTTTTAGAGCTCCAAAAAGAGATATCCTGAAGGCCTTTGTAGCAGTTGCTGGCTGGCAGCATGAAGTACTAGCCAACCCCCGTGAGAGGTCTGTTGCTAGGAAGTAAAACTCTTATCAGACTTCTCTTCAGCTCATGGAAAAATCTTTGGGGAAAGGCCTTTGTAATCTGGAGCTACTGAATGTTATTAGTATGAACAAATAATATTACCTAACAATTATTATCTATTTATTCTGTTAATCCTATTTTGTTTACTATCTCATCTAATGCTCATAAATGCCACCATATTTAAAAGTGAATAAGGTAACTCCTTTAAACAGCTTAAATAAAGCTCCAAGGTCAAACAAATAAAAGGCAGAGCCATACTTTTTGTACCTATATCTTAATCATCACAGTGGTGCTCTTTTGCCCTTAGCTTAGTGATTTTCAAGCTTTTTTTAAAGCTCTGACATTCAAAGAACTTGATAAATAAGGGGAGACATGAGTTCTGATGTCCCCAATTCACTTGCTGATGTGTACATTTGAGAGGCTGCTGATTCCAGCAATCTGCATTGGCTCCAACACTCCACCCCCTTTTATGCTACTCAAGAAACTAGGAGGAAATGTATGTGAGAGCAAGTAGTGTTATTATAGAAATAACTTTAAAGCCCCTTTAATTTATAAAAACCAAAAGTCACTTAAAATCGTCAGTACCTCATTATTACTAAACATCTAATGTGATACTTCACAACTGTTTGTATGTATCATTTGGAAAATCATGTTCTCTACTGATCCAGAGATGCCTGCCTCACCAAGTTAAATGAATAATGATCACTAAGCAGTGCACTGATTCGGTTCCCAAAGCATTTCCTACAAGGTCCAAGGGTCTTAGAGACAACTTAGGTCAAGCCAGAGTGGAAAAGAGTCAAAGGATTCCATATGTACCCTAAGAGATTTAGAACACATAGTAATTCCTAAGCAGACATCTTCTTTTCAACATTCCTTAGCTCCCATATATTGATCATACCAGGCCACCAAACTACTTTGATAACTAAAGAGAGAGAGAGTTCTTTTTGGCAGGAATGTTCGGTTTCTACATTTTTCAAGTTTCTGGATACTTTTCAAAAGTGCATGTGTGCAAACACACAGCAAAACAGGATTTGTGAAAAAGCACTCAGAGATATTTGCTGGCAGACACCATGCTGGTCTGTTTTGTTGGCCAGGTCCTGAGTCTTAGGAGTCAGTCCTAAGAGGATGGATGCCACAGGTTCAAGTAAGGTGGTAAGGACAGCTAGTTCATGGGCTAAGGATTTTCTAAAAGGTGGAGAGAAAGTGGATTAGGGAATAGTTTATGCTGGCATTCAAATTCTAATAAGCTCAGATTTGCCCCAAGACAGATTCAGATTTTCATTTTTTTCCCATTACCGTGCTGTGAAAGCAGACACACTTTAAGATCCGCTTCAGAAACACTCTAAACTACAGAAAGCCTTAACATCCTGGCCTTTGAGACTGGGCAAGAAGGGAAGGGAGAAGGATCGGAGACCTGATCCTTTGCTCCTCTCTGGTCTGTAAGCATCACCTCCAATGGTCAGGGGACCTTCGGATGTTGAGTTTCAATGAAGCTGACGAAGAGTACAACAAAAAGCAGTGATTGCCACTAAGAGCTACGATAAAGTGATAAAGGTGGCATGGAGTCAAGAAATAAGGGGTCAAAAAAAAAAAAAAAAGAAATAAGGGGTCAGCACCCCTAAGCCTTGTGTTGCTCAAGGACAATTGTATTTCACCAAGAGAGGACATTTTTCACAGGAATTTTATATCTGCTTTTCAGAAAAGGAAGATCCCTCCCTGCCCCAGCAACAACGCACTGACCACCACTTGCAGCCAGTGAGAAACTGCCACAACCTCAAACTCTTGTTCTTTTCCAATAAACTTTTGTTGAAAACAACCCTCCCCAATTTCTTCCTAAAACATAATAAAAGCTGACCTTCCCTTTTTCTTTTTGAACTTGTTTATGCCTTACCATAGCTTGCTTGTCCTTAATTGCAATTCCTCTGCTATTCCCAAGTAAATTTATTTTTTACCTTAAATAAAATTGCTCTTTTCTCTGTTTGAAGTTAACAGCACATACCACTGGGTACTTCCCCCATGGGTAGTGCTTAATACGAAACTCAAGTTCACTCTGTCCCATAGGATTGCATTTAACAAGTCCTCTTCCCTATTCATTCCCTATTTTTTCTTGTCTATATTGAGGATTTAGTATCCCCAACTTGCTGGTTATCTTCTCAAACTCCCATTATTTGCCCTAATTATCATCTCATTTACCCTGGCTTGTAGCTGACTGGGGAACTGTATGACCCATTATTCATATGTTACAAATTTAGCAATAAGAGTTTTTATCTTCCTACCAGTTATCTAGACCTTTCAAAAACTGTTGCTCTTCTGAGGCCAAAGGATACATATACTTTAGTCAATTACTTACAAATCTTTTACTCCTCAAACTCATCCTTTTCCTAAAGCTCAAGGCCATTATTGCCTATAGTTGTACTGGTCTTATCATCAGTGACACTGAATCATTACCCAGCTACTGTGAACTACAGTATGCGAGGCCAGAGCTCTGCTGTTTGGGAGGATCCTGGCAGGGGGCAAGACGGTGTTGGAAAAACCAACCTAAGAATGCCTCAAACAAACCTGCAGGACGTAAGAGAGCTAAAAGGGCTTCCCTTGTTGGTGTAAACTGCTGAAAATGTCTTGTTTGGGTTCCCACTGAAGATACAAAGAAATGGAATATACCCTTAAATAATTTACTATCTTCTTAAAAGGAAAACATCAAAGTTTATTTTTATTATTTATTTATTTTATTTTATTTTATTTTAAAGATTTTAAAAATTTATTTATTCATGAGAGACACACACAGAGAGAGGTGGAGACACAGGCAGAGGGAGAAGCAGGCTCCATGCAGGGAGCCGGACGTGGGATTTGATCCTGGATCCCGGTATCACACCCTGAGCTGAAGGCAGACCCTCAACTGCTGAGCCTCCCAGGCATCCCAATAAAGTTTAAAATTATAAACAATTAATGCCATGAAGCTATGTATTGGAAAGAAATTAACTTCATGATCAACTTTCTATAGAGTTCAGAGGAGAAACTGACTGGGTGTGGGTCTTTACAAGAGGCTGGATTGAAGTTTTGAAAGATGGATTGAGTTTAAATAGGCAGACATGTGGTGAAGGGTTAGTAACAATGAAGCTCTGCTGCCGAGGTAGTGTTTTATATTTGAAGCTGATGGTGCCAATATTTTATGCTTCAGATTCCCTTGACATTTGGTAATACGTTACAGTAAGTACTCAAGGGAAAACAATCTTCATAAAAAACACCCTCAAAACCATAACAATCTCAGCTCCATAGAATTGGAAGGGGAGAATAATCTTCAGAAGAAAATGGGAGAAAGCTAAAGATATAACACTCTTACTACTGCACAATGATGTCCTACTTAGAGGACATATAAAGATCATATATAAGAATTTTCAAATGTAGGACCACACTAAAAAAAAAATTAAGACATTATCAGAATGTAAAACTTCATCTTTGACCATAAACTTAAAATTTTCAAATTTGAGAATAAGTACTTCTCTAAAGAGAAGACACTGGTTTGCCAAGTTTTAGTTCATAGGGTTGGTGGCTCAGAACTAGAAATTACCATAATTTGCTTTTACTTATGTTATTCTTTAAACTTGTGTGTTTTGTTTTGTTTTAGTTTTTGTTTTATGTGAGTGGAATTATATATGCCAAAAAGCAATGTGGTAAGAGATGGAATTAGTAATGCTGTGGTTGTCTTCCTGTTGAATTTGTTATAATTATTTTAATCCATCTAAAATTTGGTTTAAATGAAATGCATTTTAAACAACTGATGCATCTCAGCCTTTTCCAATTTCATTGTGCTGCCTGAACACATATAGCCATTGAGCACAAATTTAACTCAAAGCATGTGGTAATACCAGCTTCTTTATCAATGACTGTTTCCAGACTTTTGCAATTAATAACTCAGTGTAATATATGGTAATAGTGGGCAAAGTAGCCCCTTCATAGGCAAATATCATTACTCATTTCTGATCCTACAGAAATTGCCAATTACTCTTTTTTTTTTTTTTTTTTTTAGTACTGGCCTCCTCAATATTCAAACCAACTTCCTAGAAAAATGGCATTGTTGTACCCTTGAAAACCCTTGAGAAGGCATTTTTGAGTTAGATATACTATTTTTTTTTCTAATGCTGTGATATTGTGATTTATGAGAAATATATATTGGTCTTTCGTCATGGTTCTTGGCTCACAGCTCCCCAAACGCTTGAAATTTCCTGGGCTACAAGAACAATGAGAGCATCTTTTGTCATAATATTTGGTCTTGTCCTCAGTTCCTGAAATCAATTCAGAGCCATAAAAGTGAACTGGGTGTTTTGTTATTTATAACAAACTCCTTTCCACGCCAACTGGGTTTATGTTAATGAGGTGACTTTTGGAAAGCACCTTAGGATGGAAGCTGGTTGTCAGAGGAACCAACCAAGAACAGAGGGGTAGAACTTTCAGTCCCACCCTCTGACTTCCTGGGAGGGGAGAGAGGCTAGAGATTAAATCAATCAACAATGGCCAATGATTTCATCAAACATGTCCACATAATGAAGCCTCCATAAAATCCTAAATGGACAGGGTTTGGAGAGCTTCCAGGTTGGTTAGTATGTGTGGATTTGGAAAGTGGTGCACTAGAGAAAGCATGGAAGTTCTGTACCCTTTCCCCACACCCTGTCCCATATATCTCTTCCACCTGGCTATTCCTGAGTTATACTCATTTATAAAATACCAGTGAATCAGTAAGCAAAATGTTTCTCTGAGTTTTGTGAGCAACTCCAGCAAATTAATCAAACCCAAGAAGGTGGGGGTAGGGGGGGGCCGGGGTTGTTGGAACTTTTGTTCTATAGCCAGTCAGTCAGAAGCCTGAGTGACAACCTGGACTTGCAACTGGTATCTGAAGTGGAGGGCAGTCTAGTGAGGATGAGCCTTTAATCTGTGGAATCTGATGCTGTCTCTGGGTAGACAGTGTCAAAATTAAGTTGAATTGTAGGATACCCAGCTGCTGTCTAAGAATTGCTTAGTTAGGGGTGGAAACTTCCACCCACCTATCTTAAAATTTGGGTCCAGAATCACGTTTAGGTGCTTTTTCCCTTTCTTCCTAAGGGAAGACTAATATTTTAGTCTAAGAAAGACTTTCCTAAGAAAGACTAATATTTTTAATCATTTTGGTCACTGACACCTTTGAGAGTTTGATGAAGCACAAACCCTCTCCTCAGAAAAATATATATTAGATACAAAACTGCATACATTTTCAGGGAATTCATGGACTTCCCTGAAGTTCATCCATCTATCCAACAGGGATCTGTGGACTCTGGGTTAAGAGCTCCTGCATGGTGGGACTTCATAGATTGGCTGGTTAGAGTACTCCCTCATCAAAGAAACTAGAGATACTGGGGCAGAAGACTCACTCAAGAGCACTAGAGTGGCCTCAGTGTTCCCACTCCATTGCCATGCATAGTTTCCCTAACCATTCACTGAGTCTGTTCATCTCTGATCCCACTGAACCAGAGAGCTACGGAGCTACTTAAACTTTGGGATCCTGAATATTTGTATACTCTCTCAGGAATGCAAAAGAGCTGTCCAATTCATTTGCCTTGAGACAGTTCTTTAAATTTGCTCTGGTTTGAAAATTCTGTGCTAGCAATTACTTCTGCAACTGGCTAATGCAAATCACTCTTATTGCAGGGAGGCAGCAAGGAGAATGTCATCTATGGTTCAGCAGCAAGAATATAACCCTAATGACCCTCCACTTTGGTTTGGCTATGATTATGAAGGCAAGCCTCTTACAAAACAAGAGATAACACCACTTAAAGAAGATGAAGAAATCACAGTGACAGATTCAATATACAGTGGTGAAGAGGAAGTAGTATGACCTTCAGCCTCAAGCAAGAAGAACAAAAAATCTAGAAGTTGGTAGCTTAATTTGATGAAAGTATTTTTACCAGCTGGATCTCAACAGTGTAACCAAGCAGCAAATCATCTCCTGATTTTTATTCCAACTACAAATATTTCTAAATACATTATTAGTTCTTCTAATTGGTTTAATCATGATTTTTTTTAAAAAGCCAAATCAAGTATTGCTACTATGTAAATTTTCTACTTAAATTTACCTTCATCAAACAAACGGTGCTGATGAGATTATCAAATCTAAGGTTACAGTTATATAAAATAACCCTGAGAGATGTGACGTTTTTGACAAGGAATTTAGAAGCTTTTCTTCACAAAAGAAAGCAGAGATGGTCATATGAGTCAGTGTAAGAGTTTGAGCCTGGGTAATGATTTTAAGGATCTGTGATGATTTAAAAAATGTAGACATACATCTTTAAAGGAAACAAGGCTTTCTTAGTTATTTCCAGACATTTAACAATAAGAACTAAATGCCACTTAACCCAGGACTCACCTTCACATTTGATTTAACAGTCAGGGATAAGTTAAATAGAAATATGAACTACATGTGAATTGAAAGGATATCCCTGCAATGTTTCAGAAAGATCTTTAAAAAAAAAAAAGATTTTGTTTATTTATTCATGAGAGACGGGGGGGGGGGGGCAAGGGAGGGAGAGAGGCAGAGACACAGGCAGAGGGAGAAGCAGACTCCATGCAGGGAGCCCGATGTGGGACTTGATCCTGGATCCCAGGATTACACCCTGGGTGGAAGGCAGATGCCTAACCACTGAGGCACCAGGTGTCCCGAAAAATCTCTTTTTAATCACATCTGTGCTACAGAGGAATTTTAACAACCATACTATGTCAAAAAAGATGCTCTTCCTATTTTATGCTAAAAGGTATGGATTGTCACATACCTCCTTATTAAGCTTTCACCTGTGGATTTTTATCACTATTGATATTTCTGTTGAGGGTCCAGGAAAAAGCACAACTCTGTTCTGTCACAAATGACCTGTGTTGGTGATACCGGATCAGTCTTTAACCTATTTTCTCCATTACTTTTAAAAAAATTCCAGTGTAGTTAACGTGCAGTATTATATTAGTTTTAGGTATACAGTTTTAGTTTTAGGTATACAATACTTTTAGGTCTAGTTTTAGGTATACGATATAGTGATTCAGTAATTCCATGTATTACGAAGTGCTCATTATGGCAAGTGCACTCCTAATCCCCATCACCTATTTCACCGATCCCCCCACTTACCTCCCCTCTGGTAACCATCATTTTGTTCTGTATAGTTAAGAGTCTCTTTTTGTCTCATTTTGTCACTTTTTTGTTTTTTAAATTCGACATGAGTGAAATCATATGCTATTTGTCTTATTCTGACTTATTTCACTTAGCATAATACTCTCTAGCTCCAACCATATTATTGTAAATGGTAAGATTTCATTCTTCTTTATTGCTGAATAATATTCCACTGTGGACCACATCTTCTTTATCCATCCATCGATGGACATTTGGGTTGCTTCTGTAATTTAGCTACTGTAAATAATGCTGCATTAAACATATGAGTATATACATCCCTTAGAATTAGCATTTTCATATTCTTTGGGTAAATACCTACAAGTGTGATTGCTGGATCATATTGTAGCTCTATTTTTTAATTTTCTGAGGAACCTCTGCACTGTCTTCCACAGTGCCTGCACCAGTCTGCATTCCCACAGACAGTGCAAAAGAGTTCCCTTTTCTCTAAATCCTCACCTCTGTTTGTTGTTTCCTGTGTTTTTTATTTTAGCCATTCTAATGGGTACAAGGTGGTATCTCATGCATTTGATTTACATTTCTCTGAAAATGAGTGATGTTGAGTCTTTTCATGTGTCTGTTTGCCATCTGGATGTCTTAATTGGAGAAATGTCTGTTCATATCTTCCATTTAATTGGATTATTTGTTTCTTTGGTGTTGAGTTGTAGAACAGTTTATTTTTGCTTTTGTTTCCCTTGCCTCAGGAGACAGATCTAGGTAGATGTTAGGGAAATTACTGCCTATGCTCTCTTCTAGGATTTTTTATGGTTTCAGATCTCACATTTAGTTAGGTTCTTAATCCATTTTGAATTAATTTTTGTGTATGGTGTAGGAAAGTGGTCCAGTATCATTCTTTTGCATGTAGTTGTCCAGTTTTCAAAACACCATTTATTGAAGAGACGGTCTTTTTTTCCCATTGCATACTTTTGCTTCCTTCATCAAAAATTGATCATATAATTGTGGGTTTATTTCTGGTCTTTCTATTCTGTTCCATTGATCTGTTTATTTTTGTGCCAGCACCATACTGTTTTGAATACTATAGCATTTTTTTTTAAGATTTTATTTATTCATTCTTAAGAGAGCACAAGAGAGAGGCAGAGACACAGGCAGAGGGAGAAGCAGGCTCCACGCAAGGAGCCCGATGTGGGACTTGATCCCAGGACTCTAGGATCATGTCCTGGGCCGAAGGCAGGTGCCAAACTGCTGAGCCACCCAGGGATCCCTATAAATCTTGATGTCATGAAGACTAACTAAAGGATACTATGAGATGTTCCACGAAGTTTACTTTGTCTCGTAAATATGAAGAGTAGAACTCCAAATAAATAAAATATTAACAAGAAACTATTATAAATCATAGTATTTGAGGTTTATTAGAAAGCATTATTTAAGAAAGCATTATTTCCAAAAAAAAAAAAATAAGAAAGCATTATTTAAGATCCAAAAGATAGGTCTATTCAGTCTTGGGTAAGTTAAATACCCCAGAAGTAGACAAGTAAGGTTTGAAAGAGAAATTCAGGAAATTGTACAGTATGCTACTGTAAAAGTATAAATCAATATTCATACAGACTATAAAATAGCTGAATTATCTCCTCTTTCCAATGCATTATATCTTAAATAATACAAAAAAAATTAAGAATTGGTGGCAAATGCATCACATTTATGATGTTTTATTCATAGCTTCAATTTACATTGATGTCATAAGAAGTACTAAGTAGCAAACATATTACAAGAGAGCTATGGTGCAAGAAATTCTAGGATAACTGCCCCCATTACCTATGCCGTTGTATAATCTCCTCCTCTTGAGTGTAAATGGAAATTATAAATATGATGAGATAGCACTTCCATGATTATGTTACAGTATATGGCAAAACAAAGATTATTCCGGGTAGGTCTGATCTAATCAACTGACCCTTTATTTTTTAAAGATTTATTCATTTATTCATGAGAGACAGAGAGAGGCAGAGAAACAGGCAGAGGGAGAAACAGGCTCTCCACGAGGAGCCCTATGTGGGACTTGATCCCAGGACCCCGGGATCATGACCTGAGCCAAAGGCAGATGCTCAACCACTGAGCCACTCAGGTGCCCTCCAGTGAGGTCTTTAAAAGCAGTTTCTCCAGCTGGTTGCAGACGAGATCAGGTATTGAAGTACCAGGATCACTGAATGCATCATTGCTGGCTTTATAATGGAGGAATGCGAGTGGCCCATGGAAACTTAAAGTGATCACAGATGGACAGCAAGAAAACAGAGAGCTCAGTAGTAGTTACAAGAAGCTGGATTTTGTCAACAATCTGAACAAGCTTGAAAGTAGATTTTTTCCCCCCAGAGCATCTAGATGAGAACATATTCTGGTTAATGCCTTGAGTCCAGCCTTGTCCACCCTGAGCAGAGAACGCAGCCACGCAGGTGTCTTGATCTACAAAACTGTAAGCTAAAAATAAGTGTTATTTTAAGTCGGTAAGTTTGTGTAGTTTCATGACAGGGAAAGAGAAAACAAATACAATAGCTAAGTAAAAATTTTGAAAAGGCCCCCACAAGACAATTCACCAGTATTCATTCACTCCAATTTGTTGTTTTCAACATTGAGATGAACTATGGTTTTTGCATTTTTGTAGTCACAGATCTGTTAATCATTGTTAGAAATTGCAAAGATTTTATTTATTTATTCATGAGAGACACACAGAGACAGAGACATAAGCGAGAAGCAGGCTCCATCCCAGGACCCCGGGATCCCGACCTGAGCCAAAGGCAGATGCTCAACCACTGAGCCACCCAAGCACCCCGTCATTGTTAAAAATTATAAATATAACTCAAACCATCCTTAGTCCTGCAGTTTCAGGGACTGAAACCAGCTTTGACTTCTAACATTTACAGTGCCTTCTGGGGCATCGGCCTTAATCCATTTTTCATGTTTGCTTGCTTGGTTCATGAGCCCTGAAACACAAAATTGCATAAAGTTACATCTTCATTGACAAGAGCAATATCTGACTACATAGATCCTAACAATCCATCTCTGAAACTGAAAGATACTTTTGGAACAGCAAAAATCTTAGAAAAGATAGCCTGAGTTGGGAGAGCTGCAAAGGGGTTACCTGAGCTTATTCCCTCCTTTCATTTTCTCAGAACAACTGAAAGGGAAGCTACTCTTTTATTTGTATTTAGTTTTTTTTTGTATGCAGGTTTTAAAAAGAGCTCAACTGACAAACTACATGTGCTTAACATATGCAATAAAGTTTTGACATACTTAAAACTGTGAAACCCATCTCTTCAATCAAATTAATGAATATATCCACCACTCCTACAAGTTGCCTTGTGCTCCTTTGTCATCTCTTCCTCCTGCCCCTTTCCTGTCACCTCCAGACACTTCTCCCCAACCCCTCAATCACTGATCTGCTTTGTGTCATACAGATTAGTTGCATTTTCTAAAATTTTAATAAATGGAACAAAATAATATGTATTTTATTCTTTTAAAAAAATCTAGGTGCTTCCACTCAAGATAATCATTTTGAGGTTCATTCATACTGAGGCAGGTATCAGGTAGTTCCCTGATCAGTACTTCGCTGAAGCCTCACGGGCACCGTGTGCAGCTCCATCTCCTCTCTGGAATGGTCTCTTGTGAAATCTAGCAGTCTTGGTCTCCCCAGATGCTCAGTCCAGTGTCCTCCTCTGCAGGAGTCTTTTGGGCTCTGTATTACCCCTCCTTGTCCTGCAACCTGGAAATTACCTCCGGGGAATAAGCTGTAGCAGGCATAGAGCTCACCAGGTTTATTTCCCATTTCTCTTTTAGTTCTACGTTTTTTTTCTTTGAATCAAGGTAACTAAAGCTCCACTGTAATTCTGGATTTAAGAGA